CCAGCGACATAGCTATTATCCTAACTGCCGGTTCCCTTTCGTTTTTTTTTTTTTTGAAGAGGTTTTTGCTATAGGGCATGTGTGCTTGCCAGAAAGACAGAGAGAGAGAGACAGAAAGACAGAGAGACAGAAAGCAAGAAATCATCCTGGGGGGTGGCCATGCCGCAATCCCTTCTCCTCCATTCTCCTCTTGGGGTCTTGGGCACACCTGCACATATGCCTGGTGTAAGTTTAAACCACTGGGTCTGGGATTCAAACCGTGGTTGACTACATGAGAGTCCAGTGACATAGCCATTATGTCAACTGTTGATCCCACTTTTTAAAAAATAATTATTCATTTAATTTTATTTATTCTTTCATTTATTTAGTTTAATTTGATCAGACACACACACACACACACACACACACACACACAGAGGGACAGTGAGAAAGCAAGCCAGGTCTGGGACTTGAACCCTGGCCTGCCATGTGGTAGTGTCCAGTGCCTTAACCAAACTTGCTGATCCTGAAATGCATATGCTTTTCTAAGTAATACTTTGGCTGATGTGACCAAAACAAAATAAAAAAATATTTACAATCAAGCAATAATGAGAAAATTGAAATCAATGGAGATAAATAGCCAAGCAAAAAAGCAGAACGAATTGAGAACAATCACCTCAGAATTGCAGGAATCACAGTGAAGAGAAGTAGGGCCCTTTGTCTTATTAAAGAATTCAGGCCCCAAAGCTTCTAGACAAAGAATCTCCTGACCTTAGTACTAACTCCAAAATTTGGAGAATAATTAGACCCATCCAGCATGTGCCTCTTTCCACTACAAGGGGAATGCATGCGTGAGCCCCACTTAAAAACAAGCCTGAACAGGGACCCTTGGGCCCAAATAAAACCCCTGGCCCCAGCTCCTCCTCGGCACCCATTTTCAGGGACCCCCACCTCCTTCTTAGGAGCTGTTTTTCACTCCCTCTCATTTAATAAACTCCCTGCCTTGCTATTAAAAAAAAAAAAAGTTATTTTAAATTATGTAGCTCAGTATTATTTGTAAAAAAGTAAATATGTAACTTTGATTAAAAAAATTGGGGCCAGCAGGTGGTTTAGTGGTTGACTGCATTTGAGTCCTGAACCCTGTGGCTTGAAACTCATGCCCGGCATGTGTGTGTGTGTGTGTGTGCCCAAAATCCCCAGAGAAGAATGGAAGAGAAGGGATTGCGGTGTGGCCACCCCTTGGGGGGTGGTTTCTCACTTTAACTGTCCCTGTCTATTTATCTCTGTGTCTCTGTCCCTGGCGAGTATATGTGCCCTATGGCAAAAAAAAAAAAAATCTCTAAAAGAAAAATAATCAGTACTAAGAAGCTAACTGAGACTTTTTTTTTTAAAGTTATTATTTTTTTCATGAGAGAGAGAGAAGCATCCTCACAAGGCCTTCTGCTTCAATCTACACCTAGCCTTCCCAGCCAGCCAGGACAGTGGGCGTGCATGGGTCACTTTCTGCATCACCCAGGCAGCACGTTCCTCCTGTGCTACCAAGTCAGCCCAAGATAGAGTATCTGTAGAAAGAGGAATAAGGAGAACGCCATATAGAGGGTGTGGTCTGGTTAACATTCTACCCTGTTAAAGTAGCCAAGAAAACTCAACTTACAGACGGAGAAAAAAGGGGTATAGTTTTCCACATTGCACTGAATGGAACAAAGTTCAAAACATAATTCACTTATGAAATCACAACACTTACAGTTTTAGCAAGTGATTTGATTCCTCTTTTTATCTCTTTTCTTTTCTCAGAAAACAGCTTAACTTCCTGTTTGATGGCCTGAAATATAACAAGTATTATCACTTAACAATGCAAGAGAAATGACAGCCCTGGATGGCGACAGATACATAGATGGATATACAGACAACACTTCTCCAGAAACGGAAATAGAACATTCTAAAAACTAATAATATGAGGAGAGGGATCTTCAAAAAGCTCATGGAAAAATGTATTAATGGATTAAAAAAAAAAAAAAACTAGGCATGAATTTCAGAATTTTACACCGAAATAAACTTGTACTTTAATTCCATTTTCCCACAAAATTTTTGAAGTCTCCTATAAAATGTACATGAAATGATACTTCAATACTTTGCTTGCATGCTACTATAAGTGACCACTGTAGCAACTGGAAATTAATGTCAACTATATGGCTAGTGGAAAGAAAATAAATAGAAAAATAATAAATAGTGAACAGTGGACAAAAGAAATCCAGTGTGCTCTTCTATCAGGGACTTGAGATTAGAGCAGGATGAACCAGACACCAGCTGTAAATATGCCCTGCCTGTGCCACCTCCCTAAACATCTGAAGCCACCACCTGCCTTTGGTTCCTGGCCCACCTTTTCTTTAAGATAACCTCCCTGACCCCGATCCCCCACTCCAAAATGGCACACCAGAGTTCAATCTTGGCTTTGGCTTACTCAGACATCTTTGTCAGGGTTCCTGTTAGCAAAAGCATACGTCTTAAAGCTCATTAGCTTTAGCTAAAGGAGTGGGCTGTGTTTGGAGTGTTCATTTGCTTTCAGGAAAGTTACACTTGCTCAAGGCATTGCTTTGTCAGGGAGTGTATTCTACCATCCAACTTCCCAGTAAGGGTCCACAGGAAGCTCATCCATCTGTCACACCCACAGACCATTATTTGGAACCTGTCCAATGTTGTAGAAATACCTCTTGGTTTTTTTGTTGTATCCAAGACATTTCCTTTATCTTGACAGATAGGCTTAACTCCTCTTGTGATGAGTCAATGCTTGACTTCTTCTGAGATACCTTAGAGGAAAACAGACATTTCTTACATTTAAAAACTTGTCAAGTTCTTCTCCTCCTACCCTACTTCACATAACTGCTTTGAGTCCCTTTGCAGTTGTTGCATTTTTTAATATAACAGCAACTATTTGCCCACCCCAGATGGAATGTGTCATTATTTGATCGCTTCTGGACTGTTCCTACATCAGCCACACCTCGCACTGTGAAAGCAGAAATGATTAGACAGGCCACACCATCACCACATCGCTCTTTGCCTTCTTCCTGTTTCTGTGGACAGGTGCTCCTGCCTGCTTGCGCACTGAGGCTAGGTCCTCCACCTGTTCTTAGGATCTGAATTTCTTCTTCCTTCTTGAAGTCTTTAAACTATTTTTTTTCCCTTTATCCTATCTCCCTCTGTATCATCTCTTTTCCTCTCCTGCTGGATCTTTTCCAACAGTATCCAGACATGATCTAGTATCTCCTGTGTTAGAAAAGCTATTCTCAATTGACCATCACATTTCCCTTTAGCTCCCACCCTGATTGACTGATTGATGGCCAGAGGCCTTGTGCGGGTGCATGAGAAAGACAGAAAGAGAGAGAGGAAAGCAGAGACAGAGACTCTATCTCCAATGGGGCATGGTTACACCATAATCCCTTTTCCTCCATTTTAAAACCTTATTTTGGGCACACATATGCACATGGCTTGCTTGTTTGAGGCTCTGAGGTTGGAATTCCGACGCAGCATGTGGGATTCGGCTCCCTGTACACAACACATGACCACCACACTACAGGCAGCTGTATAACCCCATTTCTTTGCTCCTCTTTGCAGCAAAATGCCTTGAAAGTGATGTCACCCCTCAACCCCTCCGCCCCCGACTCTCCAATGACCACACTGACTGCTCCTCTCAGACTCCTCCGCTTCCCTAAACTCTTCTACTGGCTCTAGAAGTTGCTCAGTCCTGGTCCCTTTCTGCTTCTTACCACTCATTCTTCCACGATGACCTTACCTTACCTAGTTTACGGCTTCACATTCATCCCACATGCTCTGGCTCTCACATCTCCAGTCCCGGCTTTTCCCCAGAACACACGGCTCATCTCTCTAACAGTCTACCTGGCATTTCCACTTCGATATCTAACAGGCTTCTCTGGCATAGCATGGTAAAACTGATTTCAGATTCCTTTCTTTCTCCCCACCATGGGTCTTCCACCAGTCTGCCCCATCTCTGTAAATGGTACCATCTTGTACATAGATGTTCAAGTAAAAGAACCTAGGCAATGTCCTTGAGTCCTGTTTTCCCTCTCCCCATGTGTCCAGTCCATCAGCAAGTTCTATCAACTCTACCTCTGAAACCTGCCTGGAACCTGTCCCTTCTCTTCTCCCCCGTCACACTCCCCCACCTCCATCCTTGTAACCTGGATCTCTACTATGGCCTCCTGAGTCATCTCTGGTTTCCACTCCTACCCCCAGAGGAAGCATCCTCCACACAGCAGCAAGCAGTCATTCAACCTGTAAATAGTGCTTGTCGATCCTCTGCTCAGAGCACCTCAGTAGGGTCTCAGTACAAGGGAAATAAAATCCAAACTCTTGATCTGGTTTATAAATCCCTTCTCTGCCTGGTCTTTTCCCACTTCAAGGACTTCATCTTCTACCACTTTCTCCCTTGCTCACCTCAACTGCACAGGGGTTTTCTAGGTCCTTATGCATCACATGCCATATGCTAAACTCTTTCCTCTGCCCTGAATTCCCTTGCCTCCACCCCACACTGTTCTTTTGCAAGGGAGCACCCTCTTTTAAGTCATATCTCAGTTTAAATGTCTTCTTGAGGGGCTATCCAACCTATTTTTCTTCACTGAACAGAACTTGTTACTATTGCTTTTTAAGCTTTTGACTAAAATCAAGTGTAGAACGTCTATCTAACTTTTTCTTTTTTTAAAAATTTTTGCCAGAGGACAAGTATGCTTGCTGAAGAGAGACAGAGAAAAGGAGAGACAGGAAAAGTAAGTACCCCTATGGAGAATGGTCCTGCCACAATTCCTTCTCTTGTCTCTCTCCCTCCTTTTGTGATTTTGAGCACACATGCACACATGTTCAGTGTGTTTTTCAAGCTACCAGGTCCGGGACTCAAACCACACAGTTGGCTATGTGGGATTCAGCTGCTATAATCACCATGACTCTGACTGGCCCTAACCTTTTCTTATTTATTTGCTTGTTTTTCTGGGTCTTCTTGCCCATCCCCAACCCCTGACCCCCTCAGTGAAAGCAGAAACTACTACTATCCTGTTCATGGCTATGGCCCCCATAGCCTAGCACTTTGTAGGTGCTCGTTAAATGTTTATACAGTGACTGAATGAACGGCGTTCTCTAACTAGACACTTCCTTAAAAGATGTATATCCTGTGAAAGTATAGAGAGGCAGGTTTGACAAAGCACCACTGCTAATGTGTTTTCCCCTCAGACAAGCCCAGATCGGTGCTATGGTTTAACGAGATCTCAGATGTATTATCTTCCATTGCTTTGAGAGAGGCGGACTAGTTTTCTCAGATGCAGCTTATATACTCTTTTTGAAAAACATGGGATACCTGGGTAAGGAGAAATATTACCAAATATCTGCTTAAAGGAAACAACAAGCTTCCGAGGCACAGTGAAAGGAAAAGGAGGATGCAAGCGCTGGCACTCAACTGCGCATTCAGGTTCAGAGTCCATGTCTTCAGAAACTCGTGCTGCTGTGCTTAAATAATTACTCTCTTCATCCATGGTGTTGCTCAGAGCCGTTAATAGTTTCTGGCAATATTCAAGAATTCCATTGGTTACGTTTCCTCCAAATCGTCTACATTAAAAAGAAAGGGAAACACATAGGCTACAAAGTCACAATTTAAAAAATGACTGTTCTATAATTATGTATATTATATAGCACACACACACACACACACACACACACACACACACAACCCTAAAATGGCCTAAAACATACATTTGTGTAATTACAACGGCAAAATGAAAACATTTTGGAAAGAACATTGTTACCATAGTTCATTCATCTGCTGTGGATCTTTGTTCCTTTCTTAGTGTAGTAATTTTAGAAATGAGTGTCAAGTTTGAAATTATAAAAAAAATGACTGTTCTATAATTACGTATATTATAGCACACACACACACACACACACACACACACACACAAAACCCTAAAATGGCCTAAAACATACATTTGTGTAATTACAATGGCAAAATGAAAACATTTTGGAAAGAACATTGTTACCATAGTTCATTCATCTGCTGTGGATCTTTGTTCCTTTCTTAATGTAGTAATTTTAGAAATGAGTGTCAAGTTTGAAATTATATCTGCTAAGTTGGGGTTTTGCTGCTTGCACTCTGCATTGGGTCCTCAAAAAAAATCATGTGAATGTAGTTTTCTTCCCCCCTGTCTGAAGAAGCAACCACACCCCAACAGGAGAAAAAAAATACAGAACTATTTCAAGTTTTAACTTTTTGCATATGAAAATAAAATAATACTAAGACCAAAAAAAAAAAAAAAGACTTTTCATGGCATTCTTTTCAAATACCCATTATATGTACACAAAGAGATACGCGGATGGTTCTCCACAGTACCCTGTAGTCAACACCCTACTTCTTACGGCACTCTTTCAGGGGCTCCGGGACACAGCAAACCTCTTGATCTTTCTACAGTGACCTCTTGGCACACTGTGTCCTCTTGCTTCTTGCCAGACCACTGCAGAGAAGAGCCCCCACACCTGCTGGGCCCTCCGGATGTACGAGGCACGTGCTGCTGCATGTACAAAACCACCTATCACACTCAGCCCTCAGAATCCTACCCGTACTCCAGGGCATCTCAGCCTTAGGCATGTCAACATTGCCGGAAGGGTCTGGTAAAACAGATTCCCAGGCCCTGCCTGCAGACATTTGGATTCAGAACGTCTGGCTGTGGGACCTGGGGAATATGCATTTCTAACAAGCTCAGGGGTGCCGCAGTTCTCCACCTTGAATAACACTGTTACAGGTGATGGAGAAAGCTTATTACGAGCCAATGTCACAAGCTCTTAAATCCTGGACCAAGGTTATAAACCCAGCTTTGTTTTGAGGCAGAAGTCCTGATGATTACAGAAGGATCAAAATGTCTGGGGAACCAGCAGTTAGCGTAATGGCTATGTCGCTGGACTCCCACGTAGTCGACCGTGGTTCGTGTCCCGGACCCGGTGGCTTAAAACTCACGCCGGGCACGTGTGCGTGCGTGCCCAAGATCCCGAGAGGAGAATGGAGGAGAAGGGATTGCGGCGTGACCATCCCCCCTGGGGGGTGATTTCTCGCTTTCTGTCTCTATGTCTCTCTCTGTCTGTCTGGCGAGCGCACGCGCCCTACAGTGAAAATCTCTCAAAAAAAAAAAAATGTCTGGACTTGTACAAACAGGGTCCAGCATGTGCTTGCTGTTTCCTGAGATGTTGCGTGTTCACTTATCAAAGTCGACTGTAGGATTTATATAGAGACATACAAGCTAACATGCTATTAGGGAGTCTGTACATAAAATGGGATGATACAGTCTTCAAATGAGTCTTTGAAATCAGTGCCTACCAAAATTGTTATAACAGAATCTCCAGGGTACTTAACATTTTCCAGAGTTACTAAGAAAGGTCCGGTTTGATTACAGCTCTGATCACAGAAGGGATTGTAAAATACTTTTGCTGAAATAAATGGCAGAGTGATGTCCATCAGCAAATCAGAGTGACATTTAAATTCCAGACTGTCTATTTCATGTCACCTTTGTGTCCTCTAACCACCAGGCATTATCTGTATGTTTGGGTAGTAATTGTGTATTCGGAATTTCAATGTTGGTCTAAGTAAAGTCTAAATAATTTAAATCAACTAGGCAAAAGTCTAATTAGAAAAGTAACTTGGTGTGTGTGTGTGCGTGTGTGTGTGTGTGGTGTTTTAGAGATAACTAGGAGTTTTTAAAGTTATCTAATATTCAGAATTGTCCTCATTTCTCATGTTCCTCTAACAGATGCATGAAAGGTAGCCAATAGCCTCCATATATATTATGTATCATTTTTAACAAAATTTCTTTTAGGTTTTTACTATAAGGTGTGTACAGAGAGAGAGAGCATGAGAAAGAGAGAAATCACACCACCCCCAGAAGGAATGGCCACATCACAGTCCCTACTCCTTCATTCTCCTCTTGAGATTTTGGGCACACATGATTATGTACCCGGTGTGATTTTTCAAGCTGCTGGGTCTGGGACTCAAGCCACTCAGTTGGCTATTTGGGATCCAGTGCCTTCACTATCACACCACCTGTGGCCCACTATTATGTCTTATTTTCTTACACTGATGCTATGCAATCTGGGGTCTTGCTGACCCTGGGGTAACTAGGCAAATTCTTATATATAGTAAGCAACTCTCCCTGGAACACACCTTCCAAATGTAAACCAACCCATCCAGAAGCCACAGCCCCAACCACCTGTTCTAGTGGACTGTCAAACTCAGGGCAACCATTTATTTGCCCAAATCAGCAGGGCTAGGTACAGACAACTAGGAGCAACTCCTACGCCTCAAACCCACTGGTGTTCAAACTAGCCAGTCCTAGCCTGACTGGTCCTTCCTGTGGGAGCCATGCTAAGGGATCTTGTCCACGTTTATGCACTTCCCCAGTCTTCTGGCCTTCCCAGGTACTTCCCCAAATGGCATGCTCACACCACTTGGGATCTGTGAGTCCACAGCTGTCTTTTCGATGGTAATCATCTCCTGGCATATTACCCTTGTCATGTTAAACTTAGGATAAAATCTAAGTTTTTAAACGCTGTACCATATAGGATTGCTTACTGTGTACTGTACGTACTTCCATTTCAGGTAGACAAGGGTGCCATCATTTTTTCCATTCACCAGAATGTGTTGTCCATCCATTGACATTCTCACTGATTGAATCCCATGACCTTGGTGGGAATGACTCCGACACCGAGCAAATGTTTCCTCAATAGTTTTAAAAACAGAGTAGAGAAATTACAAATGTCATTCTACCATATTTTTTTTCCCTGACAGCGTTACATGCACTTTTGCTTGTGTATAAATATTTTCATATTTACTATTAGCATTTCAATTGGTGTGGAAGTTATGCATAACACTTAAAATCCCTAGTTCAAACCATGTTCACTAATATTGATCTAGTCTCACAGTATTTTTGTATAGTATGGAAGGAGAGAGTTTATTGTCACTGATCTATAATAGGAAATCAGACACAGAGGTGAAAGGACTTGCTGAAGTCTACACAGCAAGAGGAAGGGACTTGAGCAAGCAAAGATGGCAAATTCAGATGCCTTCAAGAATCAGGAAGGTTCCATTTATGTGCAAAGCATGGTGGCAGAGGGTGACAAGCAATGTGAAGAATGGAGATAGCAGGCCTTGGGAGATGCCAACTAAACCAGTTTCATTAGAACCCAAACAAATCACATCACCAGTTTGGTACACAGAGCAACAGTTCAAACTCCTTAACTAAAAACAGATTTCTGTGTCACACTGGTTCTCCACAGTGATGCCTTTTTTTTTTTTTTTAATTTGTTACAGGGCACATGTACTTGCCAGAGACAGACAGAAGAGGCAGAAAGGGAAAGTGAGAAAACACCTCCCAGGGAGATGGCCATACTGCAATCCTTTCTCCTCCATTCTCCTCTAAGGTTTTTAGTCACGCACACCCAGTGTGTTTTTCAAGCTACCAGGTCTGGGATTTGAACTGAGCAGTTGATCATATGTGACCCAGCTGCCCTAACCATCATGCCACCAACTGGTCCTTCATTTAACTTTTTGAAAGGCAATACATTCAGATGGCTCAAAATTTGAAAACTATAAAAGTCTGCTATAAATTCTTCTTTCTGACCTCATGCCCTAATACCTCCCCCCAAGGCAATATTATTAGTATCTTCAATACTCTTTCAGAATTTTAAAAATATGTATATATAAACAAATTTTTACACAAATATCAATTTTTCTTACATAAATTATAACACAATATGTACAGCAGACACATTGTTTGCCTCTTAACAATAGGTATCTCTTGGGGTTCTTTCCATATTTGCTACATAATTATTTCCTCAGGCTGTATTACGGCTGCATAAGAGTCCATGTTTTATCTGCATACTCATTGTGTGCCATTGTCTACTTCCTCCGTCCTGGTCAGTGACATCAGGTTGCTTTCACGACCAGTACTGCCATGAACGACCTCATCTATGAGGCGCTCTGCATGCATCGACGAGACTCCCTGGAACAACTCTGACATCTCATTGTGTCTTGCCATTATCAGATACCGTATTTATTTATGACCCATTTGAAAAACAGGCAGTGTAGCAGAGTTGGCAAATCATTCACTTTGAACTAATTTCCAAGCAATTCAAGATTTTCTCAATATCACTTCTGCCCCATGATATTCCTTTCTCCTACAAGGAGCAGAAGCTGGGGTGTCAGGGTTGGGGCACGGCTCACCTGTGCACCCGTGGGGATGTCACGTGGGTGACTGGAATGATTCCCTTGTGGGGAAAAAAGCTGGGTAAGAATCACTGATCAAATTAAATTATACTGATGACCAGTACAGCTCACTCTCAGTATCTAAGAAAACGACCCCCACCTTTTAGGGAGGAGGGACTGTTTTCATTTTCTGAGGCCTGAGAACAAGGGAGTCAGAAACGGCAATGGTGGGGATATTGAAGTCCACAAGTGATGGTGGGGGACTCAGTAAGCGCCACGCCCGGCTCCCTTCTGCTCTTCGAGCATCCCAGGAAGGCTCAGGTGGGACAGCAAGAACCAACCTGCGGCCCTTAAGGCCTGGGAAATAGCATATTTGCACGGCAAGTCGCTATTTCCAAAGCAGTTTCTTACATGCCCTCTCGCTGATCCTCCCCAGAATCCCACCGGGTGACAGCAGGGAGGCCCCTCTGATTTCACAGTGAGCACGTGAAGCTCAGTGAGTTTCCAAGGCACAAACCCGCTAATGATGGCGCTGGGCTGGAGCTCATCCACAGGCCCTGCCCAGTGCACCTTACTTGCAGATCTCCTTCTGTAAGAGCACTGATGGTCAGAGTTCCCTCCCTTAGGGATGCGAACCTCAGTAAATAAAAACACTCATAAAAATCTTAGTCATTAATACCACAGGAGGGGGACCAGCAGTTGGTGTAATGGCTATGTCGCTGGACTCCCATGTAGTCGCCCGCTGATCGAGGCCCGCATCCGGTGGCCTAAAAC